GTGTCATATTTCTATATAGCAATAACTTGCACGCGTGAGACCATTCGAAATGTTTTACCTCAAGTATAGACGATTGTGTGTGGGTGTGTATGAATCCTTTCAATGGTTCAGTATTCAGTAACATTCATAATGACCACAGAAATAAGGACAGCTCGTCTAGAGAAAAAAAATGATGAAGCTCGGGGTGTCACATTTCTAATAGCAATAACTGGCACGCGTTAGTTATCCTACAGACCATGCGAAGTGTTTTACCTCAAATGTAGACGATCATTGTGTGTGGGTTTGTTCAAACATCCTTTCAATGATTCAGTAATAATCATAATGACCATAGACATAAGGAAAGCCAGTCTAAAAAAAAATGATTGAAGCCTAATCGGGGTGTCACATTTCTAAAAGCAATAAGTGGCACGCGTAATTAAAGGTTTAGGTCATACTATTTTTCGTTATCATGAAGTTTTCTGAGACCATTCAGAGTGTTTTACCTCGAGTATAGACGATTGTGTGTGGGTGTGTATAATATCCTTTAATGATTCACTGACAATCGTAATGACCATAGAAATATTAAAGCCAGTCTAGAACAAAACGACTGAAGGTCGGGGTGTCACATTTCTAAAAGCAAGAACTGGCACGCGTAATTAAAGGTTTAGGTATACAGTTTTCGAAATTGTAAAGTTGTCTGAGATCATTCGAAGCTTTTTACCTCAAGTGTAGTAGATTGTGTGTGGGTTGGTTTAAACATCCTTTTAAATAACGATTCACTGACAATCGTAATGACCACATAGGATTCTCAGGACACAACATAAATGCGTGTGTATAGTATAGTCAATTTTTCTTGAACCACAGTTAAATGGTTCTGTTACTTTGTATTACTATAGAGGTAGAGGTGCCGTGGTCTAGTAGATACGTCACAAGACTGTGGATCACATGGTTTGCGGTTCGAGTCCAGCCGTGGCACTAATGTCCGTTGGCAAGACATATGCCGGAAACCTCATCCCCCCCCCCCCCCCTCCAAGGGAGCGGAGCGTGTGCACTGGTAATAGCGAAACGAAATTACAAATACAAATGTGACTATTATTATTATTATTTACACTTTAAAATGATTCTTCATAGCCCCCAAATTTTGAAATTTATCTTTGATATAATAATACATGTACAGCTTACTATTATCGCTAAACACGTGGGAACGGCCCTTAGCAAATCTCAACGTTTTCCAATCTCTATACCAGGGGCGGCGATCCCGGAGGTAGTGGGACACGTCCCCCCCCCCCCCCCCCTCAAATTTGTTAGAGGGATTGTCCCCCCCCCCGGAAAATTTGAAAAAGTGCACCAAAAATGTATAGCAAATACTAACTAAAGACTGCAACACACTTTTAGGCTCTGGAGGGCCCAAGAGTAAAGCGTTTAGACTAATGAAAATGCAAAAAATCTACTCGTTCGGTCGCTACGCTCCCTCAGATAATGTCCTTCAAAATGTACAAATAAATATTGTAGAAAATCTGTATTCCCTTGGTATCACGTTACCACAGATTACACTATGCTCCCTCGTCCCTCTCGCATTTCGTCCCCCCCCCCCCCCCCCCCGGTCATGAAAAGAAATCGCCGCCCCTACTCCAATACAGTATTCCTCATTGCGGAAGCTTACAGCTTTTATCAATACAATGATTAGGATTTCATGGTAATGACTTCCGATTTCCTGGACAATATTATCTTACTTCCGTTTCCTTTCCATTTTATCTCACCAACCTGGCCAACTATAGATATCCGTCCTCAACTATATAGCCGCTTTTGCACATGAATATTTCATTTTGCTGGCAGGCGTCTTAAATCCGGAGTAATTGGAAGACGGTATTATGACAATAAGGGGGGGGGAAAGGAGAGAAAGAGTAAGATTGTGGATCAATTATCATGAATCAGTGCGTCAAGACTCTCTCACGATTGGAGTACAGGAAACTCCTTTATGATATGAAAGGATGAGGGGGTTACCAAACGTGATAGGCGATGATGATGATGATAATAACGTGAATGATGATCAAGATTTCATTCATTTTTTTAAATTTTTTTAAAATTGTAATAATATGTTACATGCATGAACATCGCATTACACCTTTTGTGATACCGCCGAACATCAATTCAATCCATTGTTCGAAACTTGTCTGCTGAACGATAGAGTTTCTCTTTAATTACCCAAGCTAATAATTATTATTTTTCGTCTTCTTCTTCTTCTCCTTCTTCTTTTTCTTCTCCTTCTTCTTTTTCTTCTTATTCTTCTTGAATTCCTCCGTTTGGCGAAGAACTGAGGTTATCTGAAAACAGAGATGCTTAATATTAGGTTTTTTTTCTTTTTTTTTAATTTTGTCTGTCCATGCCGAGATATTTGACAATGTAAACGAGTCGAATTTTAATTGAAATGAGTTTGAATTACGTAGAATTAACTTTCGGATTGATTAAAACACCGAGAAAGCATTTGGACACAAGTTTAACCCTGATTAGCACTTCGTTATTGGCAATCAAACATTCTTTGTAAACGAAAATTGGAGAGGAATTCGTACGTATTTGAATCTTTACGTATATACGTGAGAAGTTATTCTCTCGGGGCGTGTATTGACTTATCGAGTACATCTTGACATAATAGGAAGGAAGTGATGGAGTGAGAGGGAATTCCCGATAAATTTACCAAGAAATATCCGTGTGCCAAATGATTTCTGCTGGCAGTCTCGCAGTAAGTTAAAGAGATAGTCGAGTTCTGGGGAGAGGTGAAATATAATTTGTGAGCGTTTTCATTTTTATTATGCAAGTGTGGAAGAACATCAGAGAGAAAAATTTCCCCGAAAAGCATGGCTCTTCAAATGCCTTCGTATTCTAAATATTACATGTAACAGCTTTAAGATGAGGACCACATTTTTTTATGCCATAAGTTTGTGTAGTCCCATATACATCTTTCTGTGTACAGTGCTTGATACTTTTGCCAAGACTGGGCCAAATTTCTTATCATTTTGATGATTCCTGAACCTTGTAGAAATTGCAGTACACACCAATACTGCATGATCAACCTTTTCTGATCGATTCCACACCGTTTTTTCACAATGCAATCGCTTGACCAGAACTCAACTTTATCATTTATCTTTAATCTTTAGTCTCTCGGAGTGTTGCTTCTCTTCCCGTGTGTATATGCACGTCCCAGGCTCGACCATTTTGAATGAGGGGAGGGGAGGGGAGGGGTGGGAGGTGTGGCCCAACTGCCCAATAAAGCAGACGACCCCTTTTGAAGAAGCAAACAAGTACAATGATAATTTTTAAAAAGGAAGAATGATTTCTCCTTCAGGGGCGTCAGTTTGGAGGAGTTGGTGAGCAGTACATAGTGATCATGATTGTGATAGTGATAATTTATTGAGGACTTCTTTTTTTAATCATTTATTATTATTCGGCAAAGACAAAATTAGGAAAACAGATGTTGTTGCTGTTGTTGCTTCTGCTGCTGCTTCTGACAATTTTAACAAATTATAAATGCATTCATACTTTATTTAAATTGTTTGCGAAGTCAACCCAATACCGTACCCCCCCCCCCCCCCCCCCCCCCTCCCTTCCCCATCATTAACACTCCAAATGGCTTAGTGACTCACCTGTCCTGCGATTCAAATTCAAATGTTCCGGAAAGATTTGCAACCATAAAAAAGTCCTCATATTTCACTTTGCAGACAAGGTTGAAAAATATTTTTTTAAATTATCCGGCAGACCTTTTATAAAGGCGCTGACCACCCCCCCCCCCCTCCCCCAATCTCGTATCGCACACCTCTCATCAACGCCCCTGGCTGACGCAACCATAATTGACGTACTTTCTCTCGACGAGCAGATTCTTAGCTCCAGGGAAGGTTTAAAACATCGCAGTGACTTCCATGCAGAGAGACAATCAAGGGCAATTTATATAGTTATACCCATGATTTCTAATACCCTTTAGAAATCATGTCCAGATTACCTGAAACGTCACTGTTGTATTCACACGTTTCAGTAGACCTCGGTCATGGACAATGCCATTGGGAATAATTATCTTTGATTTTTTTTTCTTCTTTTGTGACAATCTTTGCGATGCACGTGTTACGCTGTGTTTTAACACGTCACTTTCCCAATCAATAACTTAACCGTCTTGGTCTTTCTTTCTTTGCTCTCTCTCTCTCTCTCTCTCTCTCTCTCTCACTATCACTCTCTATCTATCTATTTATCTATCTTGTTCGAAGAAAGACGCCTTTGTGTCCTTAGCACGTATGCAACCCTTCGCCTCATATACTAATCCCAAATGACAGTTAGATCTACAGAGCGGACTTTAGAGTAATGCAAATCACTACAAGCAATTACTGAAATGACGCAGACAACTGGAAGATCTTCTGAAAAAGATTTCAATTGGATTCCCCTCTTTTTGTATCTCTTGTTGTCATATGTTGCCCTATTTTCACTTGCTGTGAATCTCCCTGTTCTTCTTAGTAACTAACTCATTGATTTATATTTTCTTAAGTTGACCAATTTACTGGCGCAAGTCCAGCTCGTGGAAGACTTTTAGAGGAATGATGAAAAAGTAATTATAGTATAATTAAGCGGGAAAATCCCTGACATACCCCCTACGTGTTTTTCTTTCTTTCTTTCTTCCTTCTTCCTTTCTTTAATTTTTCTTTTCTTCTTTGTTTTTTCTTTCGTCTTTCGTTCTACTGTTTCGTTCCGAGGGGTAGGTGATCAACTGCCATCTCTCTTCTCCCGTACTTTATCTCTTTTCATTGAAAAATATTTGTGTTTGTATGCATCTCATTTAATGTACTGAAAACTTGATAATTATGTATTTGAATATATATTATTCTGAAAACGCAGGAGAAAGAAAAAACTATCCACAATTCATCACTCATGCTTGCCAAATGTATTGCATCATGGGATGGAAAAAATAATCTTGACAATTACTAAGAAGAAGAATTTGTCTTCTTCATCTCGTCTCTAACGTGAATTTGATCGGTTCGTTAATGAGGATAATTCATATTAAAATTATACCCTGTTTTATTTTTTGCTTAGGTTTTATCACCGATGATTTAATTCGAGTTGAAGAAAAGGGAGAGCAAAAGAAGTACATGGGTGTATGCAAACTTCCTGGAGAAGACACGAAGGTAATTGCTTGAAGCTTGAATTTTAAAGCCTGTCTGCACTTGTTTGACCAGGGGGTAAGACCTCCCTGCAAGGTCACTGACAGGTGGTTATCTCATCAAATCAGCTCTCAATATTTATTAACATAAGAAAAAGAGGATCATGGGGGGACAACCAGTCACCGATTAGGCATTGTAACTAGTAGTGCAGTGGGGCTTTAAGAAAGTTTGAAAAAAATCTCTCCAAATCGATACTTGTCAATCATTTACAACTATCAATATGTACATTTAAAAAAATTGATTTACGAAATCTATAAAATGCAACTTACTATTTTCATGAAGAATATGCCTACTTATTTTGGATATGATAACTGGAAGTGATTTCCTCATTAATATTTACTTAAGCGACGTTGTATTTGATGAGTCTGAGGTCAATTGATACACCAGCTCCAAAGCGATTCATGTTAATTTTTAAAAGCGACAAAATTGAATACATGTTTTTATCCATATTCCTATTCTAAACAGTTAAACGTATTTTAGGAAATGATTTTGATGAATTAAAGTAATTTCCTACAAAAGTACTTGCTCCCAGTTTGAAATGTTAAAAAAAATGGAAACCCGCTCAAAAATGATTATGAGCGTTTTATGAATGAAGAAGTCAACAAACTAAATACTAGTTTCTATTTCATTAGTAGTCATTAACAAGATACAGAAATACATCTACTCAACACTGGGAAACAGAAGTGTGATGTCCTAAAATGATGATCAAGGTAATTTCCCTTTTTCCTGTAGCATCGTCGAATTGACATCATCGTAGCGCCATACAGTGAGTACCCGTGTGCACTGGTTCATTTCACTGGATCGGGACACTTCAATCGGTCAATGAGGGCGCTAGCCAAGAAGAAGGTAAGCACCAGTTACACTCACATGTTATATCAAAGGTAAAACTTGCATGAGATAGTGGCTGTTCATCAGCATTTTTTGTGAATATGATCGGATGGGAAGTATCAGCTTGGATGAATCATTATTTATATTACAGATTAAGGAATATCTGTAGAATGTTATGCTATTTTTTGTTATTACAAAATAGAAACATGACTTATATCAATAAATGAAACAGTTTAATTTAGAGATGAAAACATTTTTTAATGAGGATGGGAAAAGAAATGTGTACCTGTAAATTACTGGGAGTTTTGTAATGCTTTTCTTTTGCATGTCAAAATTGATTATATTTCTGTGAAATTCTATAGATTATTTAAAATATGTAATATTGTTTGAATAGTTATGTTGAAAGAGGGCTACTGTCAATCTATCTCTCCCCATCTCTTCCTCTCTTGCAATTGTTCCCCCCCCCCCCCACCCCCCCCCCCCCCCTCTCTCTTTCTTCATCTGATTTCTTTTACATATTCTGTGTTTTTCTCTCACTTAGGGGATGTCACTATCAGAGCATGCATTGCGGACAGGGGTCGTACGCAGAGGTCAAGAGAAAATTCATGAAGGAACTCCGCTGCCAGTCCACTGTGAGAAAGATATCTTTGATCACCTTGGTTTAGAATACAGAGAATCACATGAGAGGGACTACTAGAAGGATTTTGAATTATTATTAGTCCATATTATGGAAATCAATTGAAATTGATTAATGTAATAATTTGAGGAGAAAACATATGAGTGTAGGATTCATTATAAATAGTACTTTTCCTTGATCGCTTTTGTATGTAGAACTCTCCATTGTCATTTTGAAAATCTATCAAATTTTATATGATTCATATTTTTGTAATAAAATTTTAAAATCAAATTCTCTCATATTTACGCCCAATATGAAATTAATGAACTCTTAAATATAGTTGAGTAAATGCTCGTGATTACAATGTATTTGTTTCAAAATAATAATGAGTGAATGATACAAAGAAACTAGATATGTGCAATAAATGTATAAAAACATAATATTCAAATCGTTAATCGATAAGAATATTCTGAAACTTGCTGTTGTCAATCAAATTTTCATAATGCTTCTTAGATGTATATTAAGGTATAGACCGCTGGCACAGCCAACATTTAGATGTGACATGCAGAATATAGACTGCAATTATGTACAACTCTTACTTTATCACGGTAGATGTATGTTTGTAATGTTCTACCCTTAGCTTATGAATGAATTTTACTGCTACTTTAATGAAATTAATGAATTGGCCAACCCAACTGTTACAACAGGATGAACTTTTACTGCTGCACATTAAAAATATTTTGTATATTGATCATCTATATATGATTCTACCAAGGCATATGCCCAATCCTTCTTCATTCTAAAGATGATTTCTGAGTACGGCTGTGCAAATTTATGGAGAGAATGCAAAGTTTAAATGATTCCTCAGACAAATACATGTACAATAGCTATTTTCTGAAGTGATGATCTAGTATTATGCAATAATTTGAGATTTGATGTTGGAACAAGGTGATGGCATATTGATAGCAGTATGATTCTGCAAATTGTATTATATGTTCTATTGTTCTACATGTGTATAAATGAAATCAATTCATATCAACTCTATTTTCATCAATGACCTCATCAGAATTTTCAATTCATTATTAATACTGCTAATATAAATACTGTATATATTTAGTTTGTAATAAAATGAAAAGTCAAATCTATTTGAAAACAAAATATGAAAATTATTGTTTGTTGTCATTCATTGTTTGTTTGTTTTTATTCAAAGTTTTGTTTTCAGTTGTTACTCAACCCATTTCTTTTTCTGTAAATTGCATTCTCCCTCTCTTACTTCTTCTCTTCCACCATGCACACTCTCCATTTTCTCTCTTCCTCTCTGTCTCTTTCCCTCTGTCTCTTTCTCTCTTCCTTTATTTTATTTCCCCTCTCTCTCTCTCTCTCTCTCTCTCTCTCTCTCTCTCTCTCACTCTCTCTCTCTCTCTCTCTCACTCTCTCTCTCTCTCTCTCTCTCTCTCCTTCTCCCATCACTGTGGTAAAAAAATACCACATATTACGAAGACCTTCAACAGAATACTTCCTCTCAAACTATAACTACAAAGGAACACACACACAACGATAAGAAATTCTTGGGGCAACAATTATGTTTTATTTCCAACAAGCATGAGTAATTTTGCATAACATTATCAAATAATGAAAGTATACGACCGTTGAGAAATAACTTACAACCTATTCATGAATACATTAAAACAGTGGTGCAGGATTCCCTTTGAAATCAAGAACCTTCCATCCATCACGTCCTGTTGCTGCTCATCACACCTCCCAAACTAAACGACAATCAACTCTTTTTTTTTTTTAATTTCCGTTTTTCCGTGACCTGTACCCCAGAAAATGACTATTTCTATCGACAAAATATCACACCGATTTTTCAATGCTCCCTGCTAATATTAATACTCTAAAGTAGTCAGCAGTGTATGTACAAGTTATGTTTATTTATTTTACAGTAAAGAGCATGAAGAAATATTTACACACTACACAAATTGTCGATGATTTCTTGTCCTTTTTTTTTTTCAAGTCGTAAACAAAAGCCAAGTGGATGAATTTGGCAAACACACACGATCGTGATAGAAATAAAACAGAGAGATACCTCCTGAGAAGAAGCTATTAAAGAGAGTATATCGAGGGGTCAGTGACACAAAGATGTAACTCCATTTTGAGAAAAAGTGGTTATGTGTCACTGAGCACTCGGGCCTTAAGGAGTTAAGTCTATGTTGCACTAGCCATTGACTTCAATGGGGTGTTTGGTGGACGTAAGTCTTTGTGTTTCCTCGAAAGCCCACATTTTTCGGAACATTCTGATATCAAATACTCATTTTGGCAAAATATGGAGTTACGTCTTTGTGTCACTGAACCCTCGATATATCGATATATAGTTCAAAAACTTGATGCGGTAAAGCATCTAGAAGAATGGGCGACAAAATAACTGGGTTTATTACAAACAATCTTACAAGCAACTGAAGGAGTAAAAAAAAAAAGATTTAAAAGAGAGAATGAAGAAAAACAAAATCGTAACAGCCACTGCAGCAAATTTATGTCATTATTTCACGTCATGCAAGAGACGGGCACAGACCCGTTTCATTCCCGAAGCGAGAAGGAGGGGGGGGGGGGGGGTGTTCCCCCGATTCTTTCCTCGTAGGATTGATGCTCTTGGTTCCAGACAAAGACGCAAAACGAAGACAAAAAAGTTAGTCATAAATATGCTAATTTGTCATGAATATGCTAATTCGTCATGAATATGCTAATTTATCATGAAGATGCTAATTAAGTCATGAGTATGCTAATCAAGGTACACAATTAAATCTCACGTTTCTCATGCGTTTGTTTGGCTTCTTCTGTTCTAGGCTAACAAATAGCTTTCATTTCTTCTGACTCCCTCTTTTCTTTCAATACAAAGACAGCAAATCATGTAATGTGCTGAAGTTACATAACAAAACATTATTGACGCCATATACCTGTACCCCAAAAAACCTACATCCTTAATGCGTGACTGTAAAAAACCCAGCACACTTACAAGCTTACTTTGTATCTAATCCTCGGATAATAATCGAAATAACATGATTTTGAACTGGTATTTCCTATTTAAAAAGATTTGGTCCATATGATGGGGGGATGTGCTCTTGGCTAAATACATTTACGACTTTCGGCTATTTGCACTTTTGAATAGTAAAGCAGGGATATAAGTACCTGTACGCTGTACATTCTCCTACAAACCTGGTTTATCATTATAATAATAATAAGTCCATTTATATCGCGCAGCTACTATATGAATAAACTTGACTGCGCTTTATACAAAGTATCGTATTATTACCCCGACCATGGCTGAGCTGCCATGATAAGGCGCTAATAAAGCGTTCCAGGAATTTCTTCCTACCGGGTACCCATTTACTTCACCTGGGTGATAGGATATAGGATATAGTACATCACCGTGATATGAATGAAAAGAATAAACCTGACTTAAAGCAAGAACATGGTCAACGTAATGCATGAAACATAACAGGACTATAACGAAAGGATACAACACTTAGCTGATAATGCACATGCAGTAGTATAGAGACCTTTTACAAAAATTAAGTATTTATCCCATCTTAAACATGTACAAATACAAGTGATAAATAGAAATAGTTCATCTCAACCTGTCATAGTACATGATACGTTAATGATGAATTCTGGCTAGTGTTGAGTAAGTATATCTGTTAGATTTGTTGAAACCTGTTGAAGTATATCCTCATGGTCATTACAAACCGTTTTAACGAAACATAGGTCGTGAACAGCTCCTAAAATCTGCGTGTTAAACAATGGTATCAACAAAATTTCTGCATTTTTTTAAAAAACAAAGTTAACTTAATTTACTTTTTTAAACTCAGCAAATATTTCATTGAAATGTTACAAATACTCATTGTTCATATTGATTTCTAAGTCCGTCATATTAAATCAATAAATGAATTTTAATCCTTTACGTGCAATGCAATTGAATATTGAAAATGAATAATTAGAATAATTTCTTGCTAACTATTATTCAATAATACAAAGTGAGGGGGCAATGCGGCTTTCTGATACTCCTATGACTTTTATAGAGGCAAGTTTTTCATTGGCTGTGGAATGCAAAAAAATTACATTACAATCAAACCTATATTTACACAATATCTGAATACAGCCAGTAGAAAGCAACATCCAGGGACCAGTTTCACAAAGACTTTTTTCAATGACAAATTACTAAAATCAGTGACAAATCTGCTTATAATCAATCAGAAGCCAGGATTTCAGTAGCTTATAACAATAACCTGTCATTTGTCACTGATGACAAGTTTTGTGAAACGGGGCCCAGGGGTACATTTTTTAATGATAAATCTAGCACTACAAAAGGAAAACATTCAAAGCAATCCGAATTTGATGGATACCAATTTGACCTCCATTCGAACGTGGCTTGCTTGAAGTACATCCCAACATAGCAACTACAATATATTAATAAATAACAGATTTTAAATGAGGCACTCTAGTAAAGTGAAGTGTGAATATTATCTTAAGTCTGTTAATAATGCCGTCATTGACGTTCCACTAAAGCATGCGGTACATCTTTCCCACATGCTTTTTGACAAAGGAATGCACCTAACCCATCAACAGTCACTCTTTCAGGACATAATTCCACATTTTGGGGTTTGGTTCAACAAACTTTTGATTCAAAGCCCTAAAAAGAAGGCAGATGCACGGGTAGAAAGGGCAAACATTTCTGCAACACACTGCATCCAATGTTCTTGCATGACCATATAGGCCCGAATTCACAAAGGGGGTTTGTCAACAAGTTTTTACAAACCAGGTTTGTAAAAAATGCGTCAAAACGCGTCATATGACATACATAAACCTTGGTTTGTTGACAAACCTCCTTTGTGAATTCGGGCCATTATGTTTGATTCCGGGAATTTTAAAAAGAAAACAAATCTTTAAAGTCCTTAAATTGGCAACACATTGAGAGATTCAAAATCATTGTTTTACTATCAAAATCTGCAACTTTCTTTTCACTTTTTCAACAACATTCTTGCCTAATGTATATTGTTTTCAGAGACATTGCATCTTATTTCAACAATGTAGCAATAAAAGAAAAATATTACATTTGCCAATATTTGAAGAATAGTTGATCAATTTAGCTCTGAAAATAAATCCTTTCCTGGGAGGGGAATGCTAGCTATCCCAGTTGGACATGTAACAGATGTAGTCATTTAGATATTGCCTAGCTACAATGTATGTAGGAGTTGGGAGTATGATGTGTTCCATTGTCAAAAAGCAGAGGGAAAGATTTTGCCAGAAGTTTTGTTGAAAGACGCCTTACTCTCATGAATACCTTACACTGCACATCAAACACATAACTTCAATCTCACTCCATGGCTCAACAAGTCTCGCGAACAGACTGCAAATTTAATTTTATCGGCAAGACTCGTTTCTATGTTGTCTTCCTTTCCATGGGAAAAAAGAAATTCATAAGTCTGACAAATCATGATTGATAAAATCAGTAATCTCAACTCATAAAAACAGCAAGTTTGAAGTCGAATCCATTTAAATGTACATAGCCGCCCATTCAATTCAAAATTATTATCATTATTTCCATCCCCCTCTTGATTCTTACCAATAGAAGTAGTTAAAATCCAATAATTAAAACATGAATTTTATAAAGTATCATAAACCAACGAGTTAATCTTTGCTTAGGATATCATGATTTTGAAGAATGACGATGGTAAATATGCCATGACCGAGGTTTCGCAGCAAGAAGTATAACATTTGACGTCAGCCTTACACACAAACACATAAGATGATAGAGAAAGCGGATGGCTGTCAAGTATTTTCAGTGTCATCATTGTGAAACATCAATTCTTCCTGATGAGATAAACTAAGTCATCGAAAACACGCCTAAAGAGGAACAATCACACCAAAATAATAATTTGTAAGTCCTTAGAAGACTTCAATTCATCTATCTTGAAAATCATTATGAGGCAATCATTTGGTTGAAGACCAAAGAACATAAAGGTACAAATAGGGTCTTAAGATATAACTTGAGAAGAGTTAACAATCGTGCACACTGAATTTTAAGAACTATCTTTTCCAAAGTCAAATTTAGCTCTTTTTTGCAGTGCAATTTTGTGAATTATACTTAATTTCAAAGGAATAATATTTAAATAATTATTCATTTAAAGCTGGCATTTTTTAGAATAAGATAGCAACATGGAACCTCAAACATAAAGAGGGGTAAAAAAAAGAAGGCGATTCCAAGATCCCAATATTGAACATCACTTGGCTCTATGAGAATAGTTGAATGTACATAGCATGATCATAGCATCATCAAGTATTTACAAGAATTTCTACAGCTTGGCTTCCCTCCGAAAGCCGCCCCATCATCACAAATTAGCACTAACCCGTCTTACATGTAGTACAAAAATATACAATAGAGAGAAAATCCAGGCCATTCTGAGGCAGAGCGATCGAATTAACATGTATTTTCTTAGAACGGCTTGGGCTGAACCTTTGTAATGAAATAAATAAGACAGGCATTATCATCACACATGTACAAGACGATACCGCTGGTTACGTGAAAGTGAGTACCCAAACTATTCTTTATTCATTTCACAGGAGTAGATCAGGGGGGTGTTTCACAAAGATCCTAAGTCGAAATTAATTCTAAGTTGGACTTAAAAACTATGGAGAGCCATTATTAGCCTTTAAAATAAAATATATTCAAAAGCAAAAAAGTATTAAAACTTTTTATAAATTCCACACCAAGAACATGAAATCTCCTTGATAATAGAAAATATGAATGATTTGAATCAACATTTTATGCCTTTTAAAATAACTTTTGAAAATTTGTTTCATAATTGTTAAGTCCAACTTAGAAATAAGTTCAACTTAGGATCTTTGTGAAACACCCCTGGAGTATTACTTGTTATACATGAATTTATGTCGGTTCTATTCAGATAAATAAATATTATGCAACTTATATCTACTTGCCCTCGTAATGCCTACCATACATTTTTTTTAAATGTTAGGATGAACCACCAATCGGGTGGAAATACGATGGACTATTTTAATAAGCATGTAAGTTCTATATTGTCATGGTTACTTTTAAACATCCATTTATGGGTTAAACACAATACATCAAAGCAATAATCTTCTTTTTTGTTTGTTATCAAAAGTCAGGAACACTTTTAACAGGTGGAGTATATCCTGTTTCAGCAACCCGCAGTCAATAGTATTGTTTAATTCATTAATATTAAAAAATTATATAAAATTCACTTTTCAAAGTCAGGCAAAATCAATGAAATTTGGCATATATTAAATTGATAAGTATTTCAGACTGCAAGCTTGTATGGTTAGATATTAATAAAAGGATTACGTCAAGGAAAGGTTAAAGTATTGTCTTTAAAATAACTTCAGTTTCTACTTAATCTATTTATTAGCACTAGCTAGAATTCTCTCTTTTTTATAATAAAAATGCAACCTTTTCTAATGATCTTCTCCAGCAAGCTTTTCTTTCATTCTTGAGAAACCCAGTGAAAAAAGTACAGCATACATGAACATACAAATAGTCTTGTCACATATAGAAGGTGCGATAATCCATCTGTTTCTTCACAAAATGTTATAGACTTGGGAAGAAACTTCCGCCACATACATCAAACCATTCACACGCAAACTTCTGGCCGAAGCAACTGACGACACACATCCCTGTCGAGCTTTTAAATACTTTTAAATAAATGGCAATTACACAAGTATTCAATGACTCCATCACTGAAAGCCTCTCACTAGACGAAATTGAGGCACTCGTATTGTTAATACCTTCACAGATAAACAGACAGGCAAAGAGATGTATTGTCTGTTGAGAGAAAGAAGGGCATTAGCTCTGTGTTATTAAAGAAAGGAGACGAGCTAATGCCCTTTTGACTCTCGACAGCGACACCTCGTTGTATTTCAACTGCTCAGTCTGTCTGACAGTGTTCAATCTTGCTTCATGCTACACAATGCTTACATCCATGTAGAAGAACGGCTACTCCCTATCTAAAGTCCACATCCCGCTTCAACCTGAAAGAACCGATTTGTTGAATCTCGCCGCTGAATCATGAACTCGCAACATCGTTTAAGTACCTCTTCAGTGAATGATCTGTCCAAAAAATGTACAACTTAAGCTTTGTCTAGCCGATAGCATTTTGGAAGTATGATACATAAAAGTCGACACTATATTGCAGTTCTTAGACATTCATAAATACTCCATGAGAAGCGTACATGCAACCAAACACTACCCCTAATAAAAAGAGAAATTACGAAGAAGGACACACATCGTTGATTAATAGGTGAGAGAGGGGGTGATATAAGGTGATAAGTGGTGAGAATGGCATATAAGTCCTTGTTCCATCATAGTCAAGACCGTCCAGATCTCAGGTCGCAATACTACAAGATAGTTTCGGTGTCATGAAACAAATTGTAGTCTGTTCTTCATTCAACAATGTTGCCCTACAATATCTCATTTCAAATAGCATTCCAAATACCGGGACGTCATACTTGAAAGGTCTTTTGAATGGCAGGACAAGCTCTTTGTTTCATCTCCCAAAGACCACATTGTTGATTTCTCCAGTGGCCCTCTCCTGTTCTCTCTCTGTACAAATTGGACAGTGCACGTTAACATTAGTGGAATATTATCTTTCGACGAACCCTACTACTACCACTACCAGCCGCAGAAACATACTGAACACAGACGGCGTAACCCTGACCAATATTTGAGAATATCCACCTCCAGACCAGGTCATCGCAAAAGAAGATGATAATTGAAGAGTGAAAAGTGTCGTGTATTGCCTTGTGAGGAACGTGGCGATGACTGAATTGCCAGGTTAGAAACAAACTAGGAATTTATATATCACAGTTTTATTAGAACAGACACAATTCACCAGCCTTCAAATGTTTCGATTTGATACTCTCCACTCTCGAAGCAGGAAATATGTCGAAAACACACCAGTGATTGAAATAATTGCCTACATAACATGTCAACTAAATTTACAAGATTAGCATGACGGAAAATGTGAGAGCGTGCAAAAGAGGAAACGAGACTGGCATCCAATGTCCTCCAAAAATCTTTGGTGTATGTACAATAGGAGAATAGCCTTTAAGTTCACGAGACAAGATGGCACCATTGATTTCCAGTCAGTTAACGGTACGTACACATCAGTCTCAGTAGGCTTAGAGAGTTCATAAACCATGCAGGCAGGGGCGATGAATTGTGTCTGTTCCAGTTATACCGTAACACACATTTACCCAGCAAGTGCCTCTCTCTCTCTCTCTCTCCTCACCACTCTCTTTCTCTCTCACTCACTCTCTTGATCAGGATTAAGTAGCTAGAGCACACGTTGCGTCTAATCACGGTTTACTCTTCTTGCTCTCGGACATTCTTTGGAGGTGGCGATAGTGATGGTTGGCGTGTTGCATTTGGTCGTGCGGCGTCTGCGCGAGGGTGAACTGGTTGGCCGACCCTTTGCTGGGGTTGTTGAGCGTCCCGCCCGGATTGGCCGACACCTTGCTGGGGTTGTTGAGGGCTGCCGCCTGATTGGCCGCCTTCTGCTTGAGTAACGTCCAATCAAAGACGTAGTCGTACTGGTAGTTGAGGGTGCGGAACAGGATGCGGAATAGCTGCCGCAGGTACATGTAGTCCGGCGCTTCCTCAAACTTCATGTTTTTGCAGTATTTCAGGTACATTGCAAATTCAGCAGGGAAACTCTGTACCAGGGGAGATAAGAGAATAAGACCACTGATTTATATAACATCCGGGACCCGTTTCACAAAGCCTTTTTTTAAACGACAAATGACAAATATCAGTGACAAATTTGCTGGTAACCAATCAGAAGCAAGGATTTCAGTAGCTTATAACAACAACTGTCATTTGTCACTGATGACAAGTTTTGTGAAACACCCCCCAGGTTGGCACAAGAACAAACAGCAAGTTACTTTAATACAGTATCCAGCGGTTAGAATACATCCATGCTGCATGTTTATTTTTCATTCTGACAAATCTTGTCACAGGTAGCTAACTAACAATATTCAGGGATCTCATTTTTTTAAGGGAGCCTACATGTAGATAGGGTTCTGCTATCCTTTAATCCACATAGATAGATAGATAGATAAATGGTTTATTCAAATCAAATCAAACATGTAAACAATAAATGTTCATTAATTCCATGCTTCGTAGCTAAAAACTAAATTGCGCAATGGATTACAGAATTAATTATTACAAGGTAAAATTGCACTTACTAATAATAAACTACTATAGATAATAATGCAACTCTTGGCACCGGCGTCGAACCGCTGCGCCATCCCCGTCACCAGTGGGGCACGAAACAGTAAGATCATCTTCTTCAAATGTGAATTTAAAAAACCTTGTTTCATTTACAATGCAGTTATATCTTGATAGTGGTGGTTATTTTACCTAACAGCTAAGAAAGCATAAATGCTTGTTAGTAAGCAACCAGTGGACCGACAGCTTTAGGGTCGCAGGATTACGAGACCATTGCTTTACCAACTGAGCTGTTGCGCTTCCTCTGAGCTATCGCGCCTCCTCGTACAGAGAGATTATTTGTGTGGCATTTGAGTTAACGACCCTGCAGTGCCTCAGTTCTTACCTTGCACAGTGTTTCTGGTGATGTGGACATCTTCTTCTCGCTGATCTTCTCATACTTCTGCTTCTTGGTAGCAGCCTTGAGACCTTGCCACGGCAGACTTCTCCTGTTGAAGTACATCATGACGTAGCCTAGCGATTCAAGGTCATCTCTCCGCCTGTAGGGGTGCCAAAAGAATATAATATAGGCATAGGCAATATATTTAAAGGCATCATTTAACAATGTCAAATCTGAGATGCATGGCCCTTATGTGTCATCAGTGTCTGAGATATGGTGTAATATTGAAACCCTAAAAAAAATTGCGCTTCAAAATGATCAAGAAGTGCCTCAAAAATTAAAAATCTTTGAGTGACCGGTTTTACCATACTCGGTTTCCCCAATAGACTGTAGTGTTATGAAAACCATTCAATTTCCAATCATAAATATCTTGATAATCATACAGGTGATCGGCTTGTAGAAGTCATGGGATTCCTGACTGACCTAAATGTTCATAATTATCATTGCACCATGAGCTAAATCCCGGATTTTTTTTCAGAATCTGAGACAAAGTTACCTGATCCCTTTAGCACTGTACCCCCAAGGCCCGAATTCACAAAGGAGGTTTGTCGACAAACCTTGGTTTTCGTACGTCATATGACGCGTTTTACGCGTTTTTTACAAACCTGGTTTGTAAAGAACAAAAGGAGGTTTGGCGAAACAAAAGGAGGTTTGAGCTCAAACCTTGGTCTGAGCTCAGACCTTGCTTTGTGAATTCGGGCCCAAATGTCTGAAATTTAAACATGGATGTCAAGCATACAGATTCATTCTCAACCTCCTGAGATCAAAGTTTGATTGGAGCCCGGCCTATAAGATCATTTTCAGGAAGATAATGTGACCAAATGTAAATGGCATTGCAAAGTTAATCATGCAGGATCGTTGTACACAAGATAATTTAAACACATTAACATGATATTTTATGCGTAATCCTCATTATATGAAAAGTTCCACTCCTATTGACTCTTACTAAAAAATATAATTGTAATACAAATGTAAAATCAAATGCTTTTATGCTAATTGCCCAGTAAATTACCTTCAAAACAATACAATAGATAAATACCCTCGGAAGTAGTCTGCTCTTTCTAGACCATTGAAGAGAGTTTTTAAGCTTGATGTTTGGCAATATTCATTGTTGTACAGAAAGGTATCAACACTCTGTTCTACATGCTGCCTGTAACAAATCGCCTAATATCAAAGTATCCCTGTTCCTAGAAATCTCATTACGAAAAGATTTACTAGCAATGCTGATTGCTATATCATTACAATTGCTATGTTTACACGGTATTATGGTAATTTTAAACTTTTAAAATTTAAAAGTTTGCGAAACCTTAAAGCTTTAAAAGAAACAAACAACTGTCAAGGACTTGGGTTAATATGGCACCAAAGCAACGAACGCTCAAAGTCTTAAACTACACGCTGGGCAAAGAGAGATTGTAACGGCACGCTGGTAAAAAAAACATCAAAGTTAATTGCGTCCACATCACACATAACGAGTGAGGAGCCCCTGCTGCTCTTAATTTTCACAATAAGTCAATAATCATAAGATCTCTCAGAGTCTAAAATTTCAAGTAAAACTTTAAGTTCCTGAAATCAACTACAAGATAACCTTGAAGTTTAAAACCGCAAGCTAAACTTCGCGTTCACCGACTGCCATGTGAACGCAACTGTTGTGTGTAGCTTGGGTATTAAGCCACAAGCTGAACTTCAAGCTCACGGACTGCCGTGTGAACGCAACTGTTGTGTGTTGCTGGGTATTATCTACTCACGCTTGTTCGATGCCCTGGTGGGCGTGGATGCTGGCATATCTGGCGGTTCCTGTGAGATTCTTGTCATCCTTGTAAGGTATATGCTGTCTTGTCCTGCTATCTCGGTACTTCTTGGCCAGGCCAAAGTCGATGATGAAAACCTTTCGATAGAAAAGAGACAAGGGAGTAACGAGTGATTTTTTTTCCCTTCGCATTTATAACAATTAAACAGGCTTCCGTTTTGCCTGGAACCCTCAATGTACCCTCTTCCAAGCTAAATTATGCCCCAAAAAATTATTTATTATTTTATTTAAAAAGTTTGTTTTTATTTTTTGTTAAGAATAATAGGTTTATGTGAACAAATGTATGATGTAAAAGATATATGGGAGAAATATTACCATCATAATCTGGATATTCACACTGAAATATGCGCATAATCAATACCGCTTGGAATATTAATATATTTACACTCTAATACTCATACATGTACATTAATTGTACCAGCATTTTCTTCAAATTATGTTATTAAATGCATTTACATTTTGCAATAATCATAAAGAAGGAAAATAAGAGAGTCATTTCATCCAGATTCCAGAAACATAACAAGAAATTTGCTGCCAATATTTCAAGGATGTGGCTCTATTCTTTCCTGATATTAATTTTAATTATCGTTTTTTATTTTCAAGTCACTAACAATGCTAACCCATTTTCAATGAAAGTTAAACATTTATGAAAATTACAAATACCTGTAAGTACTACAGTGTGCATGTACAGTGTGCATGTACGTCTACATGTACATGCATATGATTTTAAAGAAAGCATACGTGTACAAGTCTTGAAGGCTATATTACATGACCCATACATGTACAACATGCAAAATAGACACAGAAGCCCATATATTTGAGGACATACATGAACATGTTACAAACTTTTCATTAAAGATTGATCTCTGTCAAGCATTCCAGAGACACTAACAGCTGTGCAGATTTCCTTTTGTTTGCTCATATATACATAAACATGTATGCCCCTTCTGGCCTGACCCATACTGCATATGTTGTATATTGGCATGAAGTTGAACAATGTTTGATTATTCATTATGTTGGCAAGGAAAAACAATTTGAACTATACCAATGTCATGATGTATTTGTCAAAGGCCAACTGTTCAAGAAAAAGCTAGTACGTTTATGCAAAACATCAAGAAAAACTTTAAAGCTTTCTACGTATATCAGTATTCCCTGTGGATCGACAATATGTTACAAAATGTTTAATAGTAATGTTCAATGTATTAAAATTTATACATTGTATATGCCTGCTAACTGTAGATTTAAAAATAATCAGAAATATCTATTTTAGGTAGTGGTCCACAAGGGGTATAAACATTATGGCCCGAATTCACAAAGCAAGGTTTGAGCTCAAACCTCCTTTTTTTTCGCCAAACCTCCTTTTGTTCTTTACAAACCAGGTTTGTAAAAAACGCGTGAAACGCGTCATATAATAATAATAATAATAATAAAAACGTTACTTATCAAGCGCTTACCACCGAAGACATACAAAAACCAAGGTTTGTCGACAAACCTCCTTTGTGAATTCGGGCCTTTAGGTTTGAAAATCAGAAACAGGTTCATATTCATTCTCAACCAAGTTACTTTTGAATAGTAGTAGTCATATTTGTTTTAAAATACTTCAAAATGTGGATCAGATTGAGCCCTTAATTAATTCCTCAAGCCTGGCCACAAGGGACTTTTGAGATTTGCATTATACATCAGTTCATACTCCTTCCCATTCCACGTTCCAGTTTTACATGGTTGAACTTTATCTTTTGGACCACCCTGTATTAATTAATTCATTCATCAATTTATGTCATATCTTTAGAATTTCTGTAAAGTTAAAACACGACAATGACTGATGACATGAGACGTAAATGCAACTAAGACATACTCCTTCCCCGTTCTAATTTCACACGTTTGAACTTTATCTTTTGGATCACCCTGTATTCATTCATTCATTCATCAATTTATTTCACATCTTTAGAATTTCTGTAAAGTTAAAACACAACAATAAAGACATGTGTCAGAAGCCCAGAAGGATGCAGGATTCATCATAAACACACGACATCACCATACAGGACGTGATGAACGTGGGAGACGGAGAGAGAGAGAGAGTGGAAGGAAGAGTTTAATCGTGGTCATGTGATGGAACGTAAATACAAGTGTCATCGTGCCTCAAGCGAAAGGCGCAGAGGAAGGGCTTGTCTAAGGCTCTAGACGCGACTTCCTCGTCGACCTGCCCCTGCTGCCCTGAAATGCCAAACTTCTTGAACGAACGAATGATGCAAATAGCAGCTGAGTTATTTTCGCTTTGCCTCTATAATGCCCGATGTCCTTTTTCTGCAGGTTCATGCTCACATGACAATAATCACGTAACCATCAATGCCTGTGTCATATTCAATTGAATGTGTAATCAACATGCATTTATTCTTGCACATGTACAGCATGTATGTATACACTCGTACATGTATAGTGTAGGTGTACTTGCATACATGTGTGTATGAATAAGTGCTATATTTATATCCAAAGGTCAACTGTCTGTAACTCAAAGTCTGTCACCAAAGTCATAAATAACATCAGGAACGTCCAACGATTTATTGCATTTTGAACTGGATACATGTACATGTAGTGTGTACATGTATATTCTTTAATTATTGCAATGAGACATTAAATGATCATTAATTGCCAATGTGTAACTTGTTTTTTTGAAGGAATATGAGGATACAATTCGTCGCTGTTTTCACGAAGTGACGGTAGTGAAAAAAAATTGCATTCACTTTGCGTTACGATTTTCCTCACTACCGTCACTTCGTGAAAATAGGGACGAATTAATGTACATGTATGTCACTGCCATATTTGATCAAACCATGTACACTGGTTGTGGAGTGAGTTCTTAAATGAAAAAAACAAAGTCCTTTGTTTCTTCATTCTTTCAGAGTAATGCCCATAGGAAAGTGAAAAGTATGCCGCAGACCTGCCGCAGACCTGCCGCAGATCTGCAGCAGACCTGCCGCAGACTTTTAGTCTGCGGCAAAGAGTATGCCGAAGTATGCGGCAGAAAGAAATTTTGCTGCAGACTTGCCGCATACCAGTATGCCACAGGAACAGTCTGCGGCAGATCTGCGGCAGGATGAAATTTTGCTGCAGACTTGCCGCATACTAGTATGCCATAGGAACAGTCTGCGGCAGATCTGCGGCAGGATGAAATTTTGCTGCAGACTTGCCGCATACTAGTATGCCACAGGAACAGTCTGCGGCAGATCTGCGGCAGGATGAAACTTTGCTCCAGACTTGCCGCATACTAGTATGCCACAGGAACAGTCTGCGGCAGATCTGCGGCAGGGCGAAACTTTGCTCCAGACTTGCCGCATACCAGTACGCCACAGGAACAGTCTGCGGCAGGTCTGCCACAGGAAATCCCATTAAAGTCTAATAGGGCCAATTGAAACCAATCATCTCATGCATATTCATTATTACTTTACACGTGTGACAGAAAAATACATTTATCATGATTTGTTAAGCAAATTAAGACAATGCACATCATTTTTGTGATTTCTATTTTCCTTTTGCCATTATTAACCAATAGATTATTTTGTCTGATCATGTTACAATTACATTCACGTTTAAGCAATAGATATATTGATTACTAACCAAGAAACTATGATTACTAACCAAGAAACAATATACATATTTAGTATATATATGTGTACGAGCCTGTGTCACTTTAAATGTTACTCTTGAATACACTTCATATGACCAGTGTGATGAAGTTAATACAATTGAGAATAGAATATACCTAATTGGTAATATATATATATATATTGGTATTACCTAATTGGTAATATCGATATTGCCAATATCGATTATGAAGTATCAATCAGTTTATCACTGGTTCTTGAAATGAAAGAGTATGCGGCAGGTCTGCAGCAAGTCTATATGAGATATGAATATTCATGACGAAGAGTCTGCGGCAGGTCTACAGCAAGTCTGCGGCAGACCTGCCGCAGACTCTTCATCATCCTGAAAGAGTATGCGGCAAGTCTGCAACAAGTCTGCGGCAGACCTGCCGCAGACTCTTCATCATACTGAAAGAGTATGCGGCAAGTCTGCAGCAGACCAGCCGCAGACCTGCCGCAGACTCTTCATCATACTGAAAGAGTATGCGGCAAGTCTGCGGCAGACCTGCCGCAGACTCTTCATCATACTGAAAGAGTATGCGGCAGGTCTGCAGCAAGTCTGCGGCAGACCTGCCGCAGACTCTTCATCATACTGAAAGAGTATGCGGCAAGTCTGCGGCAAGTCTGCGGCAAAACTAATTTGCATGTGAAAAAGATGACTGTCTGCGGCAGGTCTGCTGCAGATCTGCGGCAAGTCTGCCGCAGGAGTATGCGGCAGGCTCATTTCTTTCCTATGGGTGTATTTTGACTGGAAGCTTAAATTAGAAATAGGCTCATACAAACAAAGCTTTATTATTTAATCAAAACATTTTAATTATCCGTGTCTGCGTCAGGTCTTTAATATTATCAATAACATATGCTAAAATTATAAGACAAAATTAGCTCTCAGCCAATGAGATGCCACAATCGCAGTAGCTTATAACAGTTATTAGGTGGTCTGTCGTTTTCGACAGATCACCTATTGTTTTCGTCAGAATTTTCTTTCTTTATTTATTTATTATTATTTATTTTTATTTCTCCCCGTTTTTTGTTCATCGGTTAACTCAAGATCAGTTGTGTTAATTTCTTTCAATTTTGACACAGTCATAGGTCATTGTCATGAGACGTGACAGTAACATTTTCAAGGTCATCATGTCATCGTGACGTCATCCAGGCGCCATTTTGTGTAATCACATTATCAATCATATCTTCATGATGCGTACTCAAAGTTCATTCATATTCATATCACATATACTTCAGGTCAAGGGTCAACAGGTCATGTCATCAAAGGTCACATAAAGGTCATGACGCGCGCGTATGTGCGCGTCAAAATTTAAAATTGCTCATTGGAGAGTACGAATCAGGTCATTTGAAGCATTTCAAAATTTTCCGTCCGTACTTGTCCCCGCGCGCGGTGCGCGCGCTCACAACGCGCGGAAAAGATCAAATTCAATTTGTTTACATGATTTAGATTCCTCTTACCGTAAATGACAATTTACATTAATTTCAGTCACTCTTGACCTTTCATAAGGCCGTGAGCGCGCGTCAAAGTTCAAATTCCGCGCGTGCTGCTATGGGCAATATAATGTAAATTTGATCAAAAACATGCTACTTTATAAATCGAAATAGCTCTTCAGATAGTCCATCGACCCCCAATTTTTATATCATGGTTGGAAAGAGCATGAGTTGGAAATATGATTTCATACCACCCTGACTCGTACAAAGTGAAACAAAGTCTTCATATTTGCATCTAAACTAAAGAAAATGTATTTTGTTGATGACGTCATTTTTGTCTTTGTTTAATTGAGATTATCTCGCTTATCAATGATCGATTTTCTCCCAGATTTCGATATGTTGTAGCTGAGATAATTCTCTATCAGAAATATGCAATTTATTCTTCATTTCGATGACGTCATCATAGTTAAATATTCGATTAAATGCGACAATGCATAATTTGTCATATTTGCGTGTTATGTCTATGGGAGGTCACTTTTTTCAAAACATGAATCTGCATGACAATGTGTTTTGACCAGTATCTCGGTTGTTATTCAACAGTTTTCTCCCAAATTTTAGTATGTTGTAGCTGAGACTATTTGCTATCTAAATATTTCCTTATTTTTTCAATCAGATGTCAGGATCATGCTCATACTCATCATCGTCATCATCATCATCAATATTATCATCATCATCATCATCATCATCAATGTCACCATCATCATCATGGTCTGAAGATGATGATCATCAACATCACCATGATCATGATCATTATCATCATCATCAGTAACATTATCGTTGTTATCATCATATAACATTATCCTTATCATGATCATCATCACCTTTACTATCATGATCATCATCATGTTCATCATGATCATCATTGTTTAAATGTCTATATAACTTCTCCCATTCTCAAATCTATCATAAGACATAGACAGACCACCTTATTCGTCTTTGTGACGAAATAAATTCTAGTTGTAATTGTTATTAATATCAAGTTTTATAAAACAGGGCCTGGGGGGCGTTTCACAAAACTTGTCATTAGTGACAAATGTCAGTTTTTGTTATAAGCTACTGAAATCCTTGCTTCTGATTGGTTATCAGCAGATTTGTCACTGATTTTTGTCCCTGATCTTTGTCATTTGTCGTTGAAAAAAGGCTTTGTGAAATGGGTCCATGGTCTGTATGGAAAAAAATTCTGGCAAAAAATCTAGTACAGAGTCATGTACATGTACGTGCACATTTGTAAGTTATATTTGATTTATAAACGGGTGCAAAGCCAAAGAAGGTTAAAATCACGTTTTTAATCACAGTTCAAATCGCACTTTACTATTACATGTGAATGCGCCTTCTGTAGAGTTTATATACATGTAGAAACACACTCTTACCTGATTGCAATGTCTACCGATGCCCATTAGGAAGTTGTCGGGCTTGATGTCTCGGTGGATGAAATTCTTATTGTGTACATACTCAATTCTTCCAAGCATCTAGAAAAAAAAAGGAAAGAAACAACATTTTAAAAATTGAAATAAAAAAGATGTCCGGCATGATGCGTTAATTGATGAATACCATTCTTATTGTGTACATACCGGTACATGTACTCAATTCTACCAAGTACATGTACATGTATCTAGAAAGGGCAAATAATGAAAGAAATCAAATTTTAAAGAATTTTAACACTTGAAGTTATACAAAGATCTGGGAATTTTGCATTATTGGTTTACTTGCTTTCATGTAAAAAAAAAAAAATCCCTGTTTACATGACATTTTACATGTATTGGTATGCACAATTTTTAAAAATAATATTTACACAAAGATACAGTCATAATGTACATGTACATGTACAATGAAGCTTTTTTTTTAGTGCTAATGTACACTGTACCAATTATTACTCTGTGAATGCACGTAGGCCTACTGTACAAGTACATACAAAAACAGATGTTTATCAGTGTTTATCAGTGTTTATCAGTGTGTATTTGTTTCTTTGTGTTGTTTTTCCCTTGTAAACTCCTTCTTATTTTGCAATTTGCATTTATAGGTACCTGTATGTACATTTCATTGATCTATAGCTTATAGAAAAGAAAGGAACAACACAATTAGCAATTACATAATGTACTAAAGCTGTGAATAACTAGTGCCTTGAGCATAGGTAAGTAAAAAGACAATCAATTTGTCCATTCTTATAATAATGGTTGCATTAGAAGCAGGCACTGTGCACTGCACTGTTATTATGGAAACAGAATACAATACACAGCTCACAACGCCTTTCAAGTTCATATGAATACATGTACAGTGTACATACATACATACAGTATATGGGAAATCACTGTAATGAGCCTTCAATTTAATATTCCTCTACTCCAGCTTTATATTGAAGCACAAGCTTTATGCATCAGCATCCAATTTAAGTGGTAGAGCCAGAGCACGGCTATAATACAAGGTATATTAAACCCAGCGTACAGCCCTACATGTATATGTTTATGAGGTTTATGGAGTCCATGTAATGTATAGGGATTTTGGATGGACAAGCACGTGCCCCTGATGCTTCCTTCCGAATAATTTGGGTTGTTGTTTATTTATACATTTGTGTTGTCTATTTATACATTTGTGTAAACAGCTGATGTGATCAATAAGGTCAAGAGGAGCTAAATACATGGGAAGATCAAATAGTTGTGTAGTAGTAGTACAATGTACATGTAGTAGTAGACTTTATTGGATAACTTGTTTAGCACAATGCTAATCTGCCACAAAACATGTATTAGGCCTATAAAAAAAAGATGTTGTATTGCCCTTTAGGTTCCAAAACATGGGTTGGTCGGTCAATTTTTTTTTTTTTTTCTTGTTCTCTTTTTCTCCCTCTTTGGGCCAATATTTCTCAGTTTTTAATGTTTAATTTTTTTCTTTAAGAAACAGTTAAAAAAAAAAAAAAAATTTTAAAGACAACCATAGATTTCAAGATTTTGGGGTCGGTCGCAATGGGCAAAACAACATCTTTTTGTTAGGCCTTATATGTACATTTTGTATGGTACCACAATTACATGTAGATATCTTCTGAAGCTGTCATTTTGTTAAAATATCACTCATCAAAGTTGACTTTTGGTAAATTATATATTGAATCAAGAAAATTGACCATCCAAGCTGATCATCATCCATTAACTACCGGTACTGATTGCAGTAAACAACAATTTCAAATTTTGTCATGTTGGAGCAGAAAGGTTGGTTTGAAATTTCATATACTGTACCATATCCAGAAGAAGAAAAAAATCCCTGTAACATAAATGTGCTTGTCTACTCTATCACTTCAGTCTATGCTTGCATTGAGAGATAAATTATGATACTCTCAGAGCAGACAATATACATGTACATGTACATCTAATGACAAGATTATAGGTAATGATTGTGAATAAAAGATTGCACACATACATCATACATGTACATGTATACATCCACATACCGGGGTAACTTCTTGATCAGTAACAACATTATTCAAATGGATTTAACCATTCATTGCCTACATGTATATGGATTATGGAAGGTTGAAAACTACATGAAGGCCTACATGTACATGTACATGTGTAGCTATACAGACTAGATAGAATCCATAAATAGATGTTTGAAAAGCAATTTATTGCAATACTGTTGGCATGAATCAGTATTAACGACACATTTTCTTGACCATCCATTCATACTAAATGTAATCTCACTTTTGATAACTGAGCCTGTGCGACCATCTTTTAATCACAGTAGATGCATGTCTACTGCATGACTGATTATGACACCATCGTCTGCAGAGAGCCAGAAGGGCGTTAACTTTCACAGAGAGCTAACGCCTTTATAGCGCTCAGCGGATGACATGTTGATGCCACAATTAGTTTGGCCTCAGACCCATGGCCTCTATAGCATCACTCCTCCTGCCTCACTACACTCACATAATACTAATCACATCACTTTCACTGGTATTTTCGAGGACATCATTTAAAACTTCTTTTGAAATCACTTTCCTGACATCTATTTGGCAGATCTACAGTGTATACGAATACATTTTCTAAACTGTAGTGAGCATTGATCAAAATTTAACATGTAATCTCGATGAATACAGAAACATACTGTCCAGTGTCCAAACACTGCACCTGTCGAGTACACCTAAAATAAATAAATAAGCTTAAAGCTAAAGACCAGTTATAGTCATGCGATTGCATTTTGAAAGAAACGTTGTGGAATCGATCAGAAAAGGTTGATCATCTAGCATATAAGTATTGGTGTGTACTGCTAGGTTCTGGAATCATCAAAATGATAAGAAATATGGCACAGTCTTCGTAAAGTTACAAGCACTGTACACAGAAAGATGTATATGGGACTATACGCACACGTGCGCGACACGGGCGTTTATCTCTCACAGACAATGTAGATAAACTAATTTACCAAATATATCAATTAGTAGGCGGTTTCCCGGCAAAATTTTAATCATCATGTATTAGTCAAAACATATTCTTTCACATGATTGGTAATAAGAGCTTCTATTTCATTTTTTTAAATTGGGGCGTTTCCAATACTGGTCTTTACCTTTAAAGTGTGCATCAATTTTAGAATGGAAATCTTATCACAAGCTCTTTTATCCTTTGCAATTTTCATTTTCAATTTCAATAAAAAAATACTTTTCATTTGACATTCAGCTGTCAAAATATTCCTGCACGCAATTCAATATCCTTCCTCATCTTAAACATTTCTATGAAACTGGTTCAAGAAAAATATTACGGTAGTCAGAGGGCAATAACAGATACATTGTTTGCTCTCTCCTTTCGGTAATCACAGCCGCACAGATCATACTGTTCACACACACACACGTCACACACTGATTCGTATGGTGCACTGCACAATGGTAAATGTTCATGTTATGTGTCATGAACAGGGTGTGTTAGATTTCAGTGTGTTGTGTATGTACGTGTGCGATCCCTAAATAGATATGTTTGGGGAAAGACAGATAGATGCCTTCTGTTTGATGTACAGCTGGCTAGCCTCTATGGTGTATCCTTCCAATAAAAATAAAGATAATATCTGATCAGATGCACCAACAGACCTAACCAACACCAATAGATGTGCAACATTGAGTCGATACAATTAGAAACCTAAATTTACATGCACATGTACATGTATGCTACAGTCTCCACCTTCAATTAGGCTTAAGGCTTTACAATTACATGTACCTGTACTTCACATCTAATGCCTACATGTTTTCCACCTCCCTGCATGTATTTAGATTAATTGCATGTGATTTTTAAATCTACATACATGTGTACATGTACACACCCATCATTCATTGTTGAAGATACTTATTTCAAATATACATTGCACAAAATAAACATGAAGTAATTAACATGTACATGTACTGTATGTAGCCTGTAGGCTAAATCCAAGCTGAAAACACGATTGTTATTGAATGTTGAAAAGATTTGGCAATTATGCATGACAACTACATGTACGTACAGTGTATGTACATGTCTATTTAACTGGTATGCATTTAAAATGTATTATGTCCTAGACAGGTCATTCTTTCTTTCTTTTTTTCTTCTTATTTTTTTCTTCTCCTTGCAAGACTCTCACAACACCACTCTTGACTTACATGTAAGTCATTTCAACCTTTAATCTATGAATATTAAATCTGAATTATTTGCTAGAAATACAACATTGTACATGTTGTACATGTATGTGTACTGTAATATCAAATAATTGCTTTTTTCATACACACATATCATGTATGGAGGTCCCTAAATCAATGTTCTGTATGACTTTTACATGTTTGTTATACTGTAACAGAACATAAACAAAATACTTCATCAGCAATGCAGCATGAAGCATGTGATATAAGATACATGACATTACCGATTCTTAAGTAAACAAAAGATTGAGGTGCGATGGTGCAGTGGTCCGGTAACAGGGAGGTCCCGGGTTAGACAGCAATTTGATGCGCTAGTGCCCTTTGGTAAGGCATAACAACTAATGTACATGTATGCAATTTGAATTCTGACTATTGGAATACATTTACTCGTATAACAGGTGAATTAAAGAAATTGTAATGGGGCACTGAACAAAGAATTGTGCATTAATGTTGATCAGGGGTCAGGGGTGGTTGACCTGGAACCTTAAATTTTGATCACATTTTCAACCTCTATTTGCCTGTCACTTACAGGTAAATTGTCATTGTCAGACAGACTGTCTCATGATGTGTGAATGCAATGCAATGAAATAAACGTCTTGATAAGATTGGAAATGTGCTGGGCGAATTCTCACTTGTCTATTAAATGCATCTGTCTGTGCCATCTTAGACTTTCCATCTATGTACATGTATAAGTTTTAATAAGGGTATGTTGGATATATAGTGGAATAGAAAATGTACCCCGTCAAGTGTAAATAAGACTGGCTTCGACTTTGAAACAGGATTACCTTGCTCTAATACCCATCCATTGACACACCTTGTCTGAAAAGACAT